ATTGTGTCGATGTCCCAATATTTCTGGACCTGACTGTACATAATATAGAAAACAGGCAAGGTAACTAGCATGGTCTACTCAATTTTTCCATCCACAAAATAGTCTAAAAAGCAGGAGGCTAAGTTTATTGGATAATTTCATGTACTTGCACAATCAATCCTATAATTTTTATCTGCAGCTTTTATCCATACTGAAGATACCTCCTGTTTTCCACTCTTCCCTTCTGGTCCCACAATGCCCCCACCCCAACCCCACCTCACAACCCTATGCATTGGAGATCTCTGTCAGGAACATATTTTGGATACCCAATGTAGGAAGGGCAATCTGGAAACATGATTCCTTGGAAGGGCTGCCCAGAGACAGAAAGATCCTGAGATGAAACACAGCAGTTCCATTTGTGAAACTCCCCAAATTCTCTTCCTGACTGCTGTACATTCTGATTTTGCCTGATACTGAGGGAAAAGGGGATTAGTTTGGGAAAGACAAGGGTGACATTCCAGTGACTCTCCTGCTTAGAATGGAGGAGCAGTATTCTGGGATATGGGAAGCACCTGAGAAAAGGTTAGAAGAGATTCTTTCAACTTCCCTAAAGAAACGGACTCCCCCCCTCACACACACACAAAATTGAGAGTCAAAGAGGGAGTACTGAGAACTTTGATGCCAGCTGCAATTGAAGAATCAATGTGGTTTCTAAGAGTAGACCCTGAATTGAATGCTGTTATCAGTCGATCAATCAATCCAATTGAAGAAACAATGGAGATGGAAAGAAGGGCACACTTTCTAGTTATCCATGACTATAGCAAGGGAGGGAGATGTTATGTGCTAACACCTCAAAGGCATCAGGGGAGGAGGAAGAAGTGAAGACAGAGAAGAAGGTAGTGTAAAGGTTGAAGAAAATGAGATGGATATCACCTATTCTCATACCAGAGCAAAGTATTTTTGTTGGGTACTTGGGTGAAGAAGATTAGAGCTCCTGTCTGGAAGAGTGCAATGAATTTGAATATTCATCTCATCACCAATTAATTGCTTTAGTTTATCTGTTTTTAGTTGGTATTGTTTATTTTGTTTTTGATGTGTTTGTTTATTCATTTATTGTACATTGTCCAAAATTGCATTGTTTGAGTTGGGCAGCTATGTAAATGTTTCAAATAAATAAATAAATAAATAAATAAATAAATAAATAAATAAATAAATATTGTAAACAACATTTTTCTGACAGATGGCAGAAATCTTCAAGGTTGGAAATGAGCAGCTATATAGCCATTGCCTCAAAAAGGAAGAGGCCCAGAATTTATACCTGAAAAATAGCCTATAAGCTGGTCAGGGTTCTAGAGCTCTGTTAGATGGAGAACTTCTTTTAATATCTGCTTGGGAATGTAGAGGAAGGAGAGATTAATCAACATACCTATTATAGACCACACACAGTCTGAGATCTGATGAAGGAGGTTTGGTGATAGTCTTGCCTATGCCAGAGATTGCTAGCTGTATGTCTGTTAGCAGGTCTTCTCTATATCAGCAATAGATCTTTGGAATGAACTTAAATGAACTGAAGCAACCCCCTTATGGTTTTTAGAAAACAGCTAAAGACCTGCCCACTTCTCTTGGCATTCCATGAAATGTGAATGGCCATATTAAATCTTTATCATTTACATATTTTTATTATCATTTCATGTTTTAAGTTTATTTTAATATTTAGTTCTAATTGTGAATTTATTGTTAAAAGCCACCCTGATGATTGTAAGGTGGTGTGGCAGGGTATAAATCTAAAGAAGTAAAATGTACAAATGTTTTTAAAATTAATCTTTAAATATTTAAAAGTAAGGAGGGCATGGAGGCTTGCAGAAACAAACATGGGGTCCAATAGGTCACTGAAATTTATTTTATCTCCCATACTAGTTGTCGCCTAGATGAAACCACTGTGGAAAATAATCTGGAGATTTGTCTGTAATGTGTCCAGCATGTAAATGACATGCAGTCCAACCTATTTGCCTCAGGGAAACTACCAAATAAGAGAGGTAGAAACCAAATAAGAGAGGTAGCAACCAAATAAGAGAGGTAGCAACCTAAATTATAAATCAGAAAATATGAAGATTATTATTAATTATTATTAGAAAACAGGCAGAATGTGATAGTGGTTTGAAGATGGTCTTAGCTGTAATTATACTCACTTTAAGATAAGATTGCAGCTCCCCCCTCCCCCACAAACTGGTCATTATGTATGTTGGCATAAATGATATAAGCCAAGGACTATCCTTGTCTATAAGATAAATCAGACAGGCAGAAATAGGCTCTTGAAATCACATCTAAATTTGCGTAAAATGTCATTAGTACAGGCTTTTAAAGAAGTGTTAAAAGCCATTTAATTTGAATTGTTTTTTTCTTAAAAGATTGATAATGTTGCTGGTCTGAAACAGTTTGTAGTTTTTTTGTTTTTTGTTTTTAGTTATAATGAAGCATTGCTGGGCCATTAATTTTTTAAAAACTGCTATTTAAAATGGCTATTTGATTGAAATAACATATTGTACTCTATAGATATTTTACAAATGTGATCTTGTGGTAGCTTTGTCATCCAGAAATAGCTAAATAACTGCTAGAGATACAATGGTCTACTTAGCACATTAAGTCTCAGATGAACTGCTACTTCTTTTTCATTTCATCAACACAATTTAAATCCATTGGCATCCATTCAGGAAACTGCAGTAGAAATAATAGAGGAACAGAATGTCAGGGATATCACAAAGACTGTAGTTAGAAAAGATAATGGAAGTTGTGATCTTCAATTTTTGTTTGAATGGAAAGCCCACAATACCCAATATGTCCAATATATGAATGATTTTAATATGCTTTGGACCTGTTTTCTTTAATTAAATCTTCTAGGAACTCCACTTTAGGATGATACTAGACAGCATGGAATATTCTGTAGGAGTATTTTGTCTACCCACTTCCTCATTACAGCAGAAATGTATATGGAATCCTTGTTAGGTTAACAATTAATCTAGGCTTGCTAAAGATTTTGAATGAAAACGCCAGAAAGCAAGGAGCACACAGAACAAGAGTTATCATATAATTTAATGGAATATGTAAATTAAACAGGGTAAAAACAGATAAAAGCACCTTTGGCTGCATTTAGAATTCAAAATAGGCTAAGGGCCTCCTGAAAGGACAAAACTAATATTATAAAATGAAGTACAAGAAAATCAAAATAAATAACCAATCACTATATGTCACAAACAATCCTCACAAAATAATGTTTAGGTACTATATGGATGTTGTGAAGGTGGGAGGCTGACTCACACTAGAAGCAAGAAAATAACTCAAAAGTAAAGTACTGCCTTGGAAATTAGTGTACTTCTCTTAAATAACTTATGTGTGAAAATTTAAAAATTATTATTAACACAGTGAAAATATCAGTAAATTATCTGTTGGTCAAATAATTCATGCTTCTGTTTAGCATGCATCAAACTGCTGTTACCTTTTCCTGATAGGCATTTATGAAAAGAACAATAAATTATCTTTGACAAAAGATAATAAGCAATTATCTATAAATAACGTTCACATTGAAATCGACCATATTCATTAACCAGAAATACTTAAACATGCCTACAGCATTCCTACTTAAGTTTTTCTGAAAACTTAAAAGAGAATTTTATAATTCCTTTAAATGTGCAGCCATGCATATAGTTATATAAAAATAGGCCTTTAGCATGATTAAACTTCTTACTGAGCAAATAATGGATAGGATTTATAATTAGACAAAACTAGATTTTCTGGGCTGGAAATGTGAAAAAAAGCCACACAGATTAATTTTCCATTGTCAGAGTTTAGCACTAAGGAATAAAATCTCAAATATGACCAATGACTATCCTTTTTTAAACAGTAATGCTCCTGAGAGGGTTTAAAGGGATTTTTCATCTGCTGGCTAAGAGTCCTTGGAAAAGTACACTTTTCCACTCTAGTTATTTAAAAGTGATATTAATTGCATTTTTTAAAAACAATGAGTTTATGTATACTTTCCATGCAGGGAGACTACTTTTATTCAGGGAATCAAAGAAGTAGTATGTACAGTATGTCTTAAAATGTAAATTGACCCAATCTGGAACCATATACATAAAAAAAAAAAATCTGTTAGTAACTTATTCAAGTCAGATAAACAAAAATATTTTTCTTTAAATATTAAATACATTCTTCCTTCTGAATTCAATATGGAGACAATGTGAGATGAAAAATATTATTTACTGCTCTTTCTGAGTTTTAAAAAATAGGACAAATATGTTTTTACTTTCCAAGGAATTGACAAATTACTGCTGTTCAAACAATCTTTCACTTTACTCTTCTTGTCATCTAGAATTAACGGTGAGGGGATGTAATATACACAGATTGACTTTTGTAGCAAAAGTATAAGTGAATACTGTATGAAAAATAATTAGTAATTCTTATAGGACCATGGCTGCAATCCAAGTCTGTGTGCACAAAACTCTATATAAGCAGTGGCTTTTAAAGATTGTTCAGTGTTGGAAAATATATACTCTTTAGAAAAAAGTAAGGGATCTCTCTATTAAAGTATGCTGCAGAGCAACAGTTTTAATGCAAGCTACACTTATAGAAACTGGCTTTTATAAACATTAAGGTGACCCTGGAGTCATGATCATATATAGACACATGCACAAACACACAAATATCCTTGCTACAGCTAACCCAGTTATGTGAAATTCAATGGTAGTTAAATGACTATTACAGTGCCAAGAGCAGTGAGTTGTGTTCTCCATGAAAAATTAAAAGATACACAAACACTACACCTTCATAACTTGTTTAAAGAGCATGAAAATCCATCAGGATGTCAAAATTATATATGATTTATTCATACTATTTCTCAGGTTAACCTACTGGTTATAAGTCACTAGACTCTGATACCAATGCAGAGCTGAGGGTTACTTATTGTCTTAAATGGGTGGGGGCCAGAAGGAGAGAGGTCCATCCTTATAATAGGATATTTGTTTGGAACTACTTTACAGGATGAAAGGGGAAAAAAATCCACTAATTTCATCTACTAGTGCATGGGAGAAGACATGACAATTTCATTAAGACATATATATTTTGACAAAAATTATACGAGAAATGTACTATTGGAAAACAAAGTATAAATTACTAAAGGAACTAATCTACTATAGAGACAGTGTTGCCACAAAATTGCCAATCAAACCAGTCCCTTATAAGCTTGTATATCGAGCAACCATGCAAGACAGTGCATTAATTTGCATACCAGATCATCTCACCATATTGCTATTATTAGAGAATGAATAATATAATATTAAGCTAGCATTTAGAATGTCACACTGATATTCTTAAGTCTTCTTTCAATCTTGGAAAAAGTAGGTACAGGAAAATTAATTTATGAACAGACATTTTCCGTTAAAATGAAAAGTTTTAGTGATGTCCACAAAGGGTGTCAAGACAGCAAGGCCATCTTGCCTGTTTTAATATCTTCCTCACCCCGCAGACAGTACTCAATGGATTACACAGGAGATAATGCTTTTACATATTATATTGTTGCTTCTACAAATACCCTTTCATTTACAATAGACTTGATAAAGTGCAAATTTGGTCCAAATACCTAAATAATGCATGCTTTTTGTGGATTGGGTTGCATCCAAAGAAGGTTAGACAATTCTGTTTCTTCTTCCAGTAGCATGCCATCATTTATTCAGCTCTAACAAAACACAGTACTCATATTTCATTTTGCTGTCTCGTTGCCTGGCTCAGTAGAGTTATTGCCCACCTTTTCTTCAGTCCTTTATTTGTTTTCAAATCTCTTTACTTCTGTCAAGCAACAACCACTTGACCCGCATCTCTGCCTTGTGGCTTCATGCCTCCAGCCGTTGCTTCTCCATGACTGAAAAAGTATCTCTGTGAGACTCTGCATCCCTTAATGGACGAGGGAAAAACTTAATTTTTTCTCAGCTTTTGCCCCTTGCATTCAGTAGAGGCATGCCGTGCATAATTTTTCCATTAAACTAAGTTCTTGACAGCTGAAGAATGATATTAATTTCTCAGGCTGGCAGTCTGGGCTCAATTTTTAGGGATAGTTCATACAACGTGTCCTCATCTATGATGAGGCTTTTGTCCAACAAGTACTGAGTGACCTGGAAAAACAAGAATATGAACAATTGCTTGGTAACACTGGAATCATTACATACTTCCTTGAATAGAATTGTAGTCAATGTCAAAATGAGACATCTCAATCCCCTTTCATACAAATGAGAGAGGAAGCAGATAGGTATCTATTTAGAAAAGAGCGGAAATACTTTTCTTAATGTAGATGGCAGGAAGCCGTGGGCACAGTCAGACAGTTCAATCTGCCATGACCCTACTAGCTCCTCCATCCAAGCAGTGTGGCTATAAACTACCTTCTGTGGTTTATTTTTAGGTTGTCATCTCACTGAGTGCAAAATTATGGCTACTTATAACCAGAGCAATCCAGAAAAGGAACCCATGATTTGTTTTATGTTTCCTCTTTGGCTTGTATGGTAACGTAAAAAGAAATTATGAATAATTACCAGCAGTGTCCAGAGCAGAGCAAGGGATGTTAGAGTGACATAAGCTGGTCATGGTGTCACAATACAAACCCCACCTCTTTCTATGTGGTCACATTGCACACATGCACAAAAGAACTAGAGTTTGCAGCACAATATTGGGATACAGCTTGCACCACTCTGAGCCCCCTTGCCCCCACCCCAGATGCTGTTATGTTACTATTGTATTCATGATTTCTTTTTTAGGATGCCTAAAAGTATACATTCTGACTAAAACAGCCAGAGCTCGCAGATGCTGCTGATGGTAACTTTATTTGCATGAAATTAAACAGTTCTCCCATGCTTGGGAGGAAGCAACAGCAGGATAAACATGCCCAGCTCAGATTTCTTTCGGGAGAAAGAACATTAAAGAACTTGAATAAAAGATAAATTCAAATGGAAACGCATCTTCTAGTTCAACTTGATAACTAGTTCTAAATCAACGTTTTTTAAGACTACACCGCAGAGCAGAAAACATCTTGAATCTGGGAATGACAAATAAAAAATGTCTTTTCTCCATTCTCCTCCCCTCTGCCAGTCCTATACAGTGCTAAAAAGTTCCTGTTAAAGACTACCTGAAGCCAGGTCACAAGTACTCACGTAAGGCCTGGGAATACATAGGAAGACTTTGTTGCACATCTCCACTTACTTATTTTTCTTTTTTGTAACTTGGATTCTTATGTCATAAATGATATACAAATCCATTTTTACTATTACTATTCAGGTTTATTTAGAATTAATTTCTGTTGTGTCCCTGGAAAGTATTTATCTTAAATAATCAAGGATTCTACAACATTTTACAAATTGCAGTTTCTCATACTATTTATTTAGTAAATGCAGTTCAGTCAAGGCAATCTGCATCATAAGCTGCAGTATTTGAAGATTTTAAGTCACAACAGAAGTAATAAATGAAAAGTTCCCAAGGATATGTTGGGGCATTTCCACACAGCCACCATTCCTCAGTTCCTCAAAAGTGGTTTAGAGTCAACACATAGTCTCTTTATCACTCTTTACCAATCTAAGGATGTAAAACATTGTATTCAATCAGTACCCTGTCCCCATTCACATTTTACTTCACTATATATCCACCTATCCAATAATTTTTCAAATAATTAGAGTATTAACTATTATAAGGCACAAAGTTGCCAAAAAAGCAATGTAACTGCATTTTTAAGTAATGACAAATAATGTTTCAGCAAGAAGTTATGGTAGCTGATGTTCCTTGTAGAGAAGATAGGTTATCCACAAGAACTGGTAAGTGGTAAAAGAAATAGGTAATCCTTGGCTTACATCCATTCATTCAGCGACCATTCAAAGTAACAGTGGTGCTGAAAAAATGGACACACAACCAATCCTCGAAGTTTCGGCCATTTGCACAGCACCCCTGCAGGGACATGATTGCAATCCAATTATGCAATTGCAATTATGATGTCGCAGGGAGCTGTAGTCATGTGATTGCCATTTGCAGCCTTCCCTGCCAGCTTCCCCCAAGCAAAGTCAATGGGGAAGCCGGCAGGGAAGGTCACAAATTGTTCTAGTAAGTCCCCCTGGCTGTCCTGCACTCACACATTACCACACCCTCCATCCCATGGCCTCCCCCAACTCATGCACAGCCTGCACTGGGCTTCCCTCCCCCAACCCCTTGCAGCACCCCCACGCTTCTTACCTATGATTCCTGCCGCTTCCCACTTAATGACCCACACATCTTGGGGTTACAACAGCAACCAGGACTGCTGGGACTGTCATCATTAAGCAATGCGGTCATGTGATGTCTTGCTTTATGACATTGCTTAGTGATGGCAATCCCGGTCCCAACTGCTGTCGTAACCCAAGGACTACCTGTACAAGAATTCCCACTAATGAGAAACCAGCCTACCATAAGATCTCTGCAGGTTCAATATAGTGAAAGGAAAGTTGATTTAAGAGTGATTTCAAACACACAGAAGTAAACCCCAAAACAAATAATCTCAGCTCTTGATTTCTGTTGATGTCATGGGATAAGAAAAGTTCAAAGCTGATTTCAAACTGATGGGGAATCCTTGTGTGGGGGAACCCATGGAATACAGGCATTTGATCAGCGTTTCCACTGCTTTTTTCCTGATTTCTGTTTAAGAAAAAAAAATTGCAAACATGCTGAATTAAATTGTGTTTCGCCAGCAACTGTGGCTGGGATCTTCAGAGGCAAGGCCTGCATAGATCACCTTGCCTCTGAATATGCCAGCCACAGTTGCCGGCGAAACATCAGGAAATCTGTTATCTAGACCATGGTCACTAAGCCCTGAAGCCCAACCCTGCCCAACAGATACCAGCCATGAAAGACCACACCAGGATAATGTTGAATTAAACTTTAAATCACAAACCTCTTCACATACCTAGCTGAAGAAAAATATGGCACAGCATTTATTAAATCCAGAGTAAGGTAAAAACGTGATGCTGTTGTAAAAGGAGATATGAAAGTACTGTACCTTTTGTTGATGCTCTATGCGATAGGAAGCCTGTTGGAATTGACGTATTTCCCTGATAATATGTGATATCTGTTAAATAAGCAAGTAATAATTTTTTGTTGAATTTTAGAATATTTGTTTGAATTCTAACTTTTCTATCTAGAATTGAACAGAATTCATATAACAAGGTTTTCATTCTTCGCTCTTCTTTCTGGAGCTCCTTTAGTTTCTGAAAACTTCATCCTGGGGGCAAACATAGGATTTAACCATAGATTTATGGTCCAACCTAGTAGAATTAAACATGGAAAATACTATCTTTGTATAACTGCTCTTTCAGGGACCTACATAAGTATTATGCTTTAAGTAGCATTTTGGACTTTCCACTTTATACAACTAATTTCCTAACAGCATTTCCCTGATGGTTCAAGTAGGCAACAATGGTTGTAGCTTGTCAGCTGGAGCCAATCAGGGTTGGGGAGGTATATTTGGTGCTGCTAGGCCTTAGTATAAGTTCTGCAGTAGAGAAACTTTTTTTTCTGTTGTTCTTTCTCTCCAGCTCCTTTTTAAGAGAGGGTATGCAAAATGGGTTGGTTGAGTGGGTTTGAGTGTTCCATGACATGATTTACTGGGTAGAGTTAATTTAGTGCTGTACATGACTGGCTTTGCTTTGAGCTACATTTATCTCTCTTGGGTTTAATCCCTTTTGGTGCAAAGTCTAATGGGATACTAGATACTTCCCGAAGAAAATGGATAGGGATTCTGTATTTCCAATATGGTGCTTTTTAATCCAGTTTAAGTGTGATTGTGTGTTGCCAGAGACACAGGGAAGGAGATTTGACTAGGTTAGTGTCTGTGTTATGGATGTGGTGGGAACAGGGCTAATGACTACGATACTGATTCTCCAAAATATGCCAGTAGATGGTGATAGAACATTGACTGTAAATACAAGTATCAACAATTGCTTTTTAATTTCTATTCACACTAACCTTGAAATGTAATCATATATACTGTTACCTAAAATCCTTATATTTAAAAAAGAAAAAACCTGTAGAAAAAATTACCATTCGCATTTTAGAAAAATTGACAAGGCCTTCTTCAGTAAAGTTTGGTGTTCCTTCTTCAATAAATGCCAGATCTGTCAGATACATCCCAAGATATGGCACAGAAGGGGGGTTGCAACTGCAGGATAAGAAATGTCAGCTGTTAGGATTGTGAGTTATAGATGAGCTTTCCTCACTTTTTCCACTATCAAAATGTATGCCAAATAAATACCTTTATTTAGAAGTTGCACTATGTCTAGTAGAAACTACTCCAAATATGGATACTTATAACATTTTGTAAGGCTGTAGTTCTATTTATTAGGCTGAATTCATGACATAACTGGGCTATATTTAACTTTCAAATTTGATTGTTGATATATTATTTTAATTAATTTGATTAATTGCAGGGAATTAAGTGTGTGAATAATACAATAAGAGTGGCAACCTCTGGCCTGTGGACTACATGTTGGACATGCCCCTATCCCAAATATATCCTTTTTCCTCTAAACATATTTTCTGTGCAGAGAAAACAAAATGTCATTACTTCACTGAGTCCTTTTCCTTAAAGGTGTAAAGGTTCTTCTTCACTGTCTCTTGCACATATTGTATGCTCAGTGAAGCTGTGGGCCATTTTTCTCTAACTTATCCTGCATAGAACAAGCGTTCCTTGACTTCTCTTGCATGGAAGAACTTCAAGAGGACGGGTATTGGACTCAAGGGGAACAGCTTTGAAACAGGAGCTTCCATTCTTCAAATCATTGCTGTTCAGTGTAACCCAATCTGCCAAGGATGGGATGGTAAAATACCCATTCCTGTTTCAGATCTGTATCTTTACTGGCTAACTCAAAAGGTCACAAAAACATTCAAGCTTTAATATCTCCAGATTTCTTTATTACACAAATGTTAAGAACAAAAACAGCTCAGAGGTGAGAAGCAGGAGAAAAAGAGTTTGAAGCCTCCTGGAGCAGAAACCTAATAAAAAATATGGAAGAGAAGCCAAATTGGCTACCACCGACATAGTTATGATTTCAGGTTTAAATCAAAATGGTCTCTATGACTGATGGGTTGAAGAATCAAAGGGGTAATGCTTTTTTATTTTTTATTTTAGTCCATCATCCATTATAGATGCAAATTTCAAATCATACAATAATTAGAACAAAATAAGAGACATACTTCTTGAGTGTTTCTCTGAGATTTTTAAATCTTCCCTCAGATGACACAATCTTCTGAAGTTTATCCATAAGAGCTTTAGGCTACAACAAATAATTAAAAAACAAACAAAAATGAGAAGGATGTAACAGAATACAGAAAATGCTCCTTAAACAAGAATTTAGCTTCACAGAAATGTGTAGGTCCTTAGGCAATCTTCATTAAACATAGCCCAGCTAAAATAATATGCTGACCACAGGCAAAACTCTTACGCATATATTTATTGTTTTGTTCAAATGCACATACCAAATTCAGAATTCTGTCCTACCGCATGCTAAATGCATCAGTCCTAAAACAGGCTGATCACAAAATCATTTCAATGAATCTATGGCCGCATGAGATATTTACATGGATAAACACGTCATTTTTGCCAGAATAATATTTAAACTGTTACAATAATGCATCCATAAATGCACACTTATGAAGGGGATACAACAATTATTAGGTTAAATAGACTACACAGTTTTCTCATAATGAAACTAATTTGGTGCTTGACAGTTATCACACAGGGCTGGGCAACCTTTCTTTCACCCAGGAGTAAGCCTTTTGTGAAAAGTCTCAATCAATATTAATTACTTACTTGTTTAGAAACCTTTGCCCAGGTTTTCTTTAGTCTGTAGATTGCACTTCTGTTCAAGGCTGATGTGATTTCAAGGACGCCATTGTAGTTGTGCATACATCGGCAGATATCTGCCACCGCAACCCATTTCTCAATGGCATTAGCACGGGAACTGATATCAGTGTAATTCATAATTTGGGATGCTACAAGGTTGCTCATCTAAATAAAAAAACTAGCCCATAAATATTTGCATTTACAACACTGAATTAAACAGCATCAGTGATTTAAATATGTTTGGCTTTTAGCAAGCAAAGCTAAGAAAACATATATTACAAAAATGATGAAAAGCGATAGGGCAGGCTTTCCCAACCTGGCACCCTTCATGTATATTGGGGATACTTATAGCACATCTGAAGCGTGCTAGTTGCAAAAGCCTATAACAGAACAAAAATAAATGATTGAACAGATGGCAAAGGCATCTTTCTCTGCGCAATAACATGCTAAGAGCAAAAACTCAATATGACATCTAAGCATCTAAGTAGTAAGTAACATAATTTGTTTTATTTTAGTTTATGTTCTTAATAAAATAAAACTTAGTTTCTTTTGCCACTGCTTGGCAATCTCAGCAGATTTCCAAAGGTTCTACTTTTTAAAATGCTTACTCCTGGCTAGTCTTCAGGAATTCTTTGGTGATTTTTATGGTCATAGAATATATTTAGCATTCTTATGTTCTCAGAAGGTATTCTCTATTTTTATGACAACTCACGTCGTTAAAATGTTGGCTGGTTTTCATAATATAAGGTGTTCTTTCATTTTTATCCAATTTCATCCAACCCTGCCCAAGAAATTCTCTGGAAAATGAGAAAAAAAAATCAGAAAAGAGAATATTTATTTCTGTTCACTCCATTTATTTTGGAGACAGCTTCACAACTCTGGAATGAATATTTTTCAACTACTACAAAGAAATGAATTGGTTATGTATGTAAAAGCCTTTACTTAAAACCTTATTAAATCTGCAACCAATATTTGTTAAAAGACTTCATGTTTTCTTTGGTAAACTTGCTATAACCAGGTCTTTAAAGCAAGAAAAATTAGGAGACAAGTTCTAAAACTTTTATAGTACAATAGGGTCCCACTGAAATCAACTATAGTCCTACTTCCGTATTTAATATGACATACCGTGTGAACCATGTATGAATCCTATCGCTTCATATAGCATCTTTGCCCTCATTATCCCCCGCTCCAAAACAGATATTGTCAGGATTTCTTTCTCATGGGAAAGGATTCATCCCGTTATCTTTACAACAACAACAAATATTTTGGCTATAGAGATCATGTGAGAAACACCTGTTATTGTGTGTTGTGTATTGTGCTATTTACTGCCACCTATTGGTGTGTGTCTCAGTGTGTGTGTGTGTATAGCTTTAGCTCAGTATAGCACCATGTAATCATTTTTATGGATTATGTAGTTGTAACAAATTACC